CATTTATCCGTTTGTTTCTAATTGGTCAGAAGAGACGTGGAAGTGAAGTACAGTACCGTAACCTGATTTAGAACGATTGTTTTATGGGCGTAAATACGTCGAACGAATGATAAAAACCAGTGAAGTGTCGACGGTAGTACGGTACCTGTGTAAAGCCAAAAGTCTTCGAAGCACCGGCTTCATTGGTCAATGAATCACAGCCACTGACCATATCCATTTTGGGGTCAGCAGGCGACAAGGCAAAGTCGCTGGTTTGTCGACCGTCCGTCCGGTGCAGTCGGCTCAGATGCCACTAAGATCAACAACACACAAATAAGCACCTACTGTGCGTGGTAGCCAAAGGCCGGACTACGGTAAATATTGGCGGTTGCGGTAGCAGCAGCATGACGACAAAGCAAACGGTGGAAACGGTTGGACGATGAGGTTTACCGCTGCGCTGGTACGGAGGGATGGGAGGTGGATGAGGACAACAGCCTCCGCTGACAACACTCTTCTTGGGAACCTTTCTCGTTGACGGCCACCGCGAACCGAGCAGAGAGGCGAAACCTGAGCCCCTCCCTGAAGAGCACATGTCCGTCGTCTTCATGTTCGTTACTCGCGGCTGTGGCTGGCGGCAGTCGCCAATCGGCGACCGAGTGCCAACTTCTCGGCAAACCATTTCGAGGCGGGAAGGCTCAGGTTTCGGTCAGCTGTCATTCGACGCCACTGCTGCAACGGCAAACGAAACCGGACACCACCGGGAAACGACAACCGGCGAGCTAGACAAGACGATTCGTCGTCGTCCTCGTAATGAGTGAGGTCGGAATAAACTCACACCGACAAGTCGATTATCGATTTTTCCTATGCCTCGAAATCTTTCCTTGTGCGATTAGTCGGGCACCGTTTACAGTAGCGATGCTAAAAGGAGGAAGATGTGAGAATTTGTTTTCAGCTTTTTTTTTCCGGTGTATGGAAGTGCCTTTTAAAATAACCTAAAACTTTAAAATTTTGAGCGACGAGTGCATTTTAATTGGTTCACGCAAATCAACAGGGTACTAGCATTTTTAACCTTTCGTGCTATATTTAATCATCTGTAATTCACCGCTTTGTCGACCTTCTCCCTCGAAACCATGCTAGCCCTGGCAAAGACCACGGCTACATTCTACAGGGGAAGAGAGGTTGCAGAAATTCGTTTAAGTACAAAAGGAAAGTTTGAAACAGTTGGCATCCCTTACACAGGTATGACTAGGAGTCATTTGTGTCACTTTACTTCAATGAACTCATGATGTAGCGCTGTTGTTTCTGTACCATGTGTACTTATTTCAAAAGCAGGTGTAGCTATGTTGTAACCATCGTGTGTAGTCTCTGCTTTCCTTCTCACAAATTTATCTATTTCGGAAAGGAGAAAGGTGTCATCTTACCGTAGATTGTATCCAGGATCTGCTGGCTCTGACATTGAGGTTCTATCATGGAACTCTGCTTTATGTTGACCAGAACAAAAACCTCAAAGATCGTACGGGAGGAGCATTTCCGGAAGTCAGGCCTGGCGTCCTAGCGACGTTGAATCTACGGATGAACTTCTCGTGAGTGGTACTGAAAATGAGCCTCACACTGCGACTACTCCATATACAACACTGCCATGAAAGAAGGTGTCTTCATTCATGCTGAGAAGTGAAAAGTTATAACGGACGGATACTCGAGTGGAGTTAACAAGATCGCCTTGTTACTGTCCATTTCCAACTTCCTCTTTGAGTATTTATTAATGCTACGCCTCATTCTCTTTCGACAGAAATGCACAGAAAACGTACCAAGGGAAGAAGAATTTAATTTTCTAGTTCCTTAAAAAACAGGAGAAAATATTTAACGCAGGAGGATCCATGAGAATGCTCTCAGGTGAGATACCACTAATTTTTCTTATAGTTCAGGTCTTGTCGCTGGGTGATGAACTTTCCTTATATAGATGCACTCAAGCAGATACAGGTAATTAAGTCTATGTGAAGCGGGTGGGTAGTGTGTCGTAATTCATCAAGGCTTTAAATAAAACGATGGAGAAGCATGAAGTAAATTTGCATTATAAAGCACCATGTGGAACGAGCACAAGGGAGAAAAAAGTCCTAGCGAGCGCTAGCGGCGAAAACAGCAGCTAACCTTTGTAACTTTGCTAATCGAACCGACGTCGTTGACTTGTCCCAAGCGATCTTTGAGGTATAGCAAACTTTGGATAAACTGAATGGTGTGCCAGCGAGATTAAGGCTACAAATGTTTTGAGGCATAGAAATACACTTCGCACGTTGGCAAGAGGTCTGGATAAATTTATGGAGGTGGGACCAGTGTTGAAACTCCCTGACGCCGCTGCTACCTTCTTCGAGGAGTTTGCAATTTTCGGCACCTGCAAGGATGGCACTATCATCGCAACTTCAACAGACGTATGCTAGTCAATATATTCCAGTCATCTATAATTTCTGTAACCTAAAACAGCTACCATGTTTGTTCGCTATTCAGAAACCAAAGCGCATCAATAGAATTATGCATGTTTATCTGTTGAAAACTAACAATTTGCTCGCAACCAAATACTACACAGGTTTAATTTTTGGTGGGCGTGTTGATTCGTTTTTTACAGTCCAACTCATTTTTAAACCTCGAAAACAGTGGCTTGTTCAAGAAAAATGCAAATATGTGCTCTATGGCCCTAGAAAAAGCTTGTGACCTAATCCTGCGAACATATGGGATCAGTGACCAGTTGTTTCGGACAATTCAATCACTATGTGCTGATACCAGATGCTGCGCTAGAGTAAATGTCGCAACATTGGCACTGGTCTCCTCCTAGGTTACATTCTGCCTCTCTCATGTTTGTGATGTACATGGATAGAATGGTCAGGAGCTGCCAAGGCGATGAGAATGTCGGTATAGGAGATGTGAAGTCGAGAAGGTTGCAGTTTGCAGACGACCTTATTTTATTAGCATCTTGTGAAATTGATCTACAGTGCTCCTTAGAAAGGTTCGCAGCCGAGTGCGATGTGGCCATTATGCATCTTTCTCGTTCTCCTGCCCACTGTTCTCTTCAGATTAATGAAGAAGCAATGGAGCAGGTGAAGAAGTTTTCAGGTTCCTAGGAATCGTATTTACTAGTGATGAAAAATTTGAGAAAGATATCAGTGGAGCATTGGAATGGGCGGCGGCATCCTCTACGAATTAGCCCATGACCATAGTAGAAGAGAATCTGAAGACTGCGCTGTTTGCATTCAAGTCGTTCTCAGTCCTGACGCTTTTCTAGGGTGATAAGTCGTGGCCATTACTGGAAAACGTTTATCACTGGTACAAGCGGCTGAAATTGGTTTTCAGAGGCGTATCGCTGGGCTAATGCATCTCGAATAGTCTGAATCTTTGAACCGAATGAATCTTTGTCTACTGCCGCTACTTCTCCACACAGAATAATCACAGCTGCGATTGTTTTGGCACGTCTTGCGAATGTTTTCCAAAGGAAAGGGTTATTGGCTACCATGTGTCAACTGACTGTCCGAAGTCACCGGAAAAGGCCAAGAATAACCTTTGGCAAGTGTTTCGAGGTACCCGGCTCTGAACTCGGGTTATCTTCTGCCGAAGCTCAAACGGTGACAGATGATCGGGAATGTTGGAAGCATATCTGTCTCGTTTGCCTACACAATCCGGAAGAAACGGCTGTCCCCTCAACATACATCAAAGCTGCGGCGTAAACTTAAACATTCAGGAGGCAATGTTGAGGCGTAGGTATAAGTTGGGGTTAATAATAATGGAATAAAGCGATATCATTACCGGCTAGTTCTGAACGGCTAATCATTCAGTCTATATAGGCATAGGTGGATTCTGATTATGGACGGAAAACGATACACGATAAAAATCAATTATGGTATTTATGGATTTAGTGACAAACTGCTAGTTTAAAGTTTTACTACGGAAAGTGACAGTTTATTCTTTCTTACCGGCTGTATGGAACACTAGCAGTTTGCTAGTAAATTCATCATACGGGAGTTTATTTATATGTGAGTGTATGCCTATGCTTTTAGTCAATCCAAGACAAGTATTTGTTCACCGCTGCACGTGATCAGATTTTGCGTGCATGCACTGGGGGTGCTAAAATGCCATTGAATTTTGGCCTGCTTAAACGGTATCATAGGATGCTAGGAGCAAGGATCCATTATGGGCCGTGTAGACAGAAGATTATTTCTTACCGGTGGCATCGAAAACCAGCAGCTTGCTAGTCAACTCAACTTCAGGTTGCAATTTATGTAAATGCATCATTAACATGAAAGTTTCATACGTTCATGTGCTGCGACAATTCAGAGCATATTGTGGAAACGTAACATTTTGAGTTCTGTTCACAAGTGACACTGGAATAAGAATTTGCTTGGAACAGTTTCATGCCTTTTTCATTAAAACTATAATTCACTAAGATAATCAATAACCTATGAAAGTTTGCTGATTTAATCAATACTGAATTGGTGTGACACCACATGTTAATAAGCAGTCATTTGGTACCTCCACTACTAAATCGCACGGTCGAAGGAACTGCTTAAAACTCGATTGCTCCAGAGGACATAATTATTGTGTTAAACAGTAGTGCTGCCAGGTACGTGGCTATGAGCCGTAAATGTTCAAATGCCGCGAAACCCTAGCATACTTAAATGGTGCCCGAGAGAAAAGGGAAGGGTACATTCCGGTGACTGACTGAATTCGAACTTGTTAACGTCGAGTCGAACATATGAACAGGCATTTGCGCCAATATTTCGCAATGGTATTCATTATCTTCCACGTCATTAACAACGCCAGCGACTGACGTATAATATCTACAAACATATTGCGAGCACATCTCAACCCGCAAAGTTCGGCTTATGTGGAAAACATCGCATCAATGCTGAAAATAGAGTAAAACGGTTTATTTATACACAACGCAAGCAGCATGATCGATCGGATGAATTGCCAGTACAAACGTATCGATCCACGTCTGAAGGACCTTCTTCTAGGTAGAGTTGGCTGGTTGAGTTCAGACGTCGTTTTTGGCCGTTTGCAGTGGTAGTACTTTTGAGGCGACAAGAATCATATAAGCATCACGTGAAACTAGTGACTCTATTATGGTACTACGAAAATACATGGATAATAAATAGACTCCAAAACTGGTAGACAGCGCATCAGCAGGACAAATGCATAATAATTGGTAGAGTGCAGTAAAGCGTGTGCAAATGCTACCTTCCAAGGCTGCATGCTGTTAACGTATCTAACAGTGCTTCTCAGTAACTTCCATAATGCATCTAATATTAAGCGATTGAAGGAATTCCAGTCAAAAACCTCACCGAGTTCGATGGTGATGACCCACCAACCAGTAAACTTAAAATTCTACTATAGTCTGACCAGGAAAATGGTATTACGTAGCAGTCCATCAAGCGGGTCAGCTGCGACGAAGGGCCAGTTCGTCAGGTGATCGGAGATTAATCTTCATGCGTGGATACAACACACTGCTTCCATATCGAAAATGAACTACCATCAATTTGAATTACAAACTCTTAGCATGACAATAGTCACCGCTCTATTCAACGCCAGAATGATTCTTTCATACACGTTCTTCAGACACCAACGAATCTGCGTTCACTTTCAGCACATTTCGTACCTAGCGCTTTTGAGTTAGGCAGTGCCATCGTTACTTTA